CGTTGTGACTACAACAGTATTATCACACATGACAATAGTCCATGTTTTATGAACAAATAATTATTACAATAACGTTCGCATTAATTCCGACAAAAAGGTGATATCTGTAACCGCGATAGCAGAGGTGCTGTGCTGCCATGGCAACACATCATGTAATGCGTGGATGACCCGGGTCAACCCTGTTTCAGTCATCTTGGTCATACTCCACCCAGATTAGGCTCTTGGTCCTCTTCTTCACGGCTTACCCTGGCAAATCCTTAGTTATGTTTGTGTTCACGTTTGTGTTCACGTTTGTGTTCACGTTTGTGTTTACCTGCAGTTTCAGATAATTTGAAGCTCCACCTTGTTAGGTTGCCTAACAATGTATAAAAAAATTTGCAACACACTGACATGACCTTGTGAAGATGTTATTTTACCTTATACAAATAGGGGGGTTCTTGAAATGTGGCTGATTTAACAAGGAACCACAATAAACAACGTCGAGTGATTGTTTTGAAACGCTTTATCACACGAATATACTGAGTCTTTTATATACACGTGGCCACGTGAAATATGTCCCTTGTTGACGAAGGTCTACCAATCAACAGCGATAGTCTTCTTTATTGTGTATCAAAATTAGGATATATTTGACGTAGGGCGTTTTAGGGTGACGTCGCTTGTCTTTTGGGTGTACTACTTAATTGGGGGAATTAGTCGGTAGCAGCGGTCACGACTGGCTATCACCTTGAAGGACAGAGAAGGCTGTTGAGTTGTTGGCGTTTATTGGTGGAAGCAGAGTGAAGTTTACACAGAAGTACATTTAATTGTAATGGCACGATAATATATATAAGAGGTTGAGTCACATTCATCTAATTGTATACATGTAATTATAACAATTCAATACGTGTACAACACGTACGATCATAATAATACAATCGGCATACAACCGGTAATAACATGACTGTAAAGATGTACAATATATTTGTTTAACGGATGGTTATTAAAAGGCATTAATTACGCGAAAATGTGTCTGGTAGAAAACAGTAGAAAAACAGTCACGCGTGGATATTCTGTTATAAGAGACAATATAATTACATGTTGGCCGACTCAGTTTTCAATGTTACTAAGTTGCAGGCAAATCATTGCTATGAGTATGTGTCACTGAATGTAGGAACGTACAAGTTATTGACATTGGTACACATACTCATATTGGGATGTTGCCGTGCAACTAGTATACTTATATACTAATATACTAATATATGTTCGCGAGAGGAAGTATTGTCTGGATATTTAGTCAATGATAATTTTTACAACGCTACGATATAGTCGAAATAGATCTAACCTATACCTAGCGTATTAAGATCGTAGCTGACAAAATAAGTTAGCAGTTAAGTAAATAGTGACTTACCTTGAAGGACAGAGAAGGCTGTTGAGTTGTTGGCGTTTATTGGTGGAAGCAGAGTGAAGTTTGCTACCACCGACCGCCGTATATATACAACTCAGGCCTTCATTACGTTACATAACTAAAGATCACAACATCCCAGGTGTCAGCGGTTGATCGACTGTAACAATGGGTGGGTGTGTCATTATTTACGGATTTATTCAAGTAGGTTGTTGTATTGCCTAACTGACCCTTACATCACTGTCGGACTGACCATGTATGCCGGCCCTGTGACGTGAAGTTGCCTCACCAATCACTGGTTCTCAGAGAGACTGACCCTTTGTGTCAGCCTGGCTGGGCAGACTAGCATAATGAGCCACTGTCTCACAGCTGGAGTGACCGTGAGTTTAGCCGCATATGTGAAACATAAAATATCTTGTATGCGGCGGTCAGTTAGTGCATTCGCTATACTGAATTTACTTTAAGAATAGTCAGATTAGTTTACCGATATAGGTCGATTGATATATATTTTCTAATAGGAATTTGGTGTTAGAAGAAAGCTATGACAATACCCCTCTGCGACAGGAAGCTTTTGTCCACAAAAGCAAAAAAATAGAATTGACATAATTAGGTAAGGATAAACGGTGATACAGACATGGTAATACAATGCAAAAAACAATAAATGTGATACAGACATGGCAATACAATGCAAAAAAGACATAACATTTGATTAATGTTCATCAACGATAATGGTCATAATCATTTCTGGTACAAAATGGATTATCATCATTATTATTTGTTCTAATTAATAGTTTTTGTTGTTGCGATGTTCAAGACAGATATGAGAAAACATAAAGACCGAATAGTTGGGCAAGAGCACTTGGTGATGAGGAAGTTTGGAAACAAGGGCTTGTGTGGCCCTACAAAATTCGAAGCATACCTGCGATAGTGATGGTAATGCTGTAAAGAAAATTAGGGTAAGAAAGTGAAGCAATGATGGGATCAGTATCATTGAGTTACCTTGGTTAACCCTTCATTTCACCACAATGTTGACATCATTCTCACGTAGATATATTGGTTGGACATGGAAGTTTATGATTTACGAAAATGTTATGGTTACGTTTTCTACCTGTCTGGGTGATGAGGTTACGATTGGCTTGATCGTGGCAGTTCCGTTGGCTGAGGTCCTTGCGAGAAGGTTGACCTGGTGACATTAGAGCATTTTGGGACCTGTGCAACATCATCCGATATGGATGTTAGAAGATCACGGCCCTGCTCAGGAGTCGATTGTTGGAACTACTGAGGTGACTGGTGCCTGACTTGTTTTGAGGCGTTTGGTTTGACTGGTGCCTGACTTGCTTTGAGGCGTTTGGTTTGACTGGTGCCTGACTTGTTTTGAGGCGTTTGGTTTGACTGGTGCCTGACTTGTTTTGAGGCGTTTGGTTTGACTGGTGCCTGACTTGTTTTGAGGCGTATGGTTTGACTGGTGCCTGACTTTTGCAGCTCTTCTCTGTGATTCTTCGGTGTTCTGCCAGTCGTTGACCTGGTCCAAGAAAGGATCCTCTCACCAGTTGAATTAGGATATATTTGACGTAGGGCGTTTTAGGGTGACGTCGCTTGTCTTTTGGGTGTACTACTTAATTGGGGGAATTAGTCGGTAGCAGCGGTCACGACTGGCTATCACCTTGAAGGACAGAGAAGGCTGTTGAGTTGTTGGCGTTTATTGGTGGAAGCAGAGTGAAGTTTACACAGAAGTACATTTAATTGTAATGGCACGATAATATATATAAGAGGTTGAGTCACATTCATCTAATTGTATACATGTAATTATAACAATTCAATACGTGTACAACACGTACGATCATAATAATACAATCGGCATACAACCGGTAATAACATGACTGTAAAGATGTACAATATATTTGTTTAACGGATGGTTATTAAAAGGCATTAATTACGCGAAAATGTGTCTGGTAGAAAACAGTAGAAAAACAGTCACGCGTGGATATTCTGTTATAAGAGACAATATAATTACATGTTGGCCGACTCAGTTTTCAATGTTACTAAGTTGCAGGCAAATCATTGCTATGAGTATGTGTCACTGAATGTAGGAACGTACAAGTTATTGACATTGGTACACATACTCATATTGGGATGTTGCCGTGCAACTAGTATACTTATATACTAATATACTAATATATGTTCGCGAGAGGAAGTATTGTCTGGATATTTAGTCAATGATAATTTTTACAACGCTACGATATAGTCGAAATAGATCTAACCTATACCTAACGTATTAAGATCGTAGCTGACAAAATAAGTTAGCAGTTAAGTAAATAGTGACTTACCTTGAAGGACAGAGAAGGCTGTTGAGTTGTTGGCGTTTATTGGTGGAAGCAGAGTGAAGTTTGCTACCACCGACCGCCGTATATATACAACTCAGGCCTTCATTACGTTACATAACTAAAGATCACAACATCCCAGGTGTCAGCGGTTGATCGACTGTAACAATGGGTGGGTGTGTCATTATTTACGGATTTATTCAAGTAGGTTGTTGTATTGCCTAACTGACCCTTACATCACTGTCGGACTGACCATGTATGCCGGCCCTGTGACGTGAAGTTGCCTCACCAATCACTGGTTCTCAGAGAGACTGACCCTTTGTGTCAGCCTGGCTGGGCAGACTAGCATAATGAGCCACTGTCTCACAGCTGGAGTGACCGTGAGTTTAGCCGCATATGTGAAACATAAAATATCTTGTATGCGGCGGTCAGTTAGTGCATTCGCTATACTGAATTTACTTTAAGAATAGTCAGATTAGTTTACCGATATAGGTCGATTGATATTTATTTTCTAATAGGAATTTGGTGTTAGAAGAAAGCTATGACATATTTAAGAATCTTAACCCGAATATATCGTTTTGTCAAATAGTCTTATTTTGTAGAAAGTCCTGTCACATGTACAGAGATATTTGTATCGGATGACACACAATATGTTCACAATAAGGATGTCTCGGATGAAATGAAAGATTTGAGAAACAATGATTTAGCCTCGGTGTTTACACACACACACAAATTCTACCCTGAACGTGATAGGTGTTCTGAAAACTTGTTTCGTTAAAAATAATTGTTAGGTGCATAGAGGAGTGCAGTCCAATATCCTCTCGATAAGTGTATTTCAAAGTTTTAAGCTTTTACCACTTTTCACAAGTCCCCTGCCCTGCATAATACACCATGTCTCGTTAAGGCAGAGAACACACTGACGCCAGCCACACTACATACCTATGTAACATTACCGCAATGGCAGTCCCGTTCAACGAAGGATGACCAATAGCTTGTTAACAAATACCTGCACCAGTTGCTTACCGATACAAATAAAGCGTCCCTTGCAAACTGCAGTCGATAAAACCTACAAGAACCTGATGCCATTAACCCTGGGGACAGGACTTCAACAACATTATTCTTTCAATGCGACGTTCCATGTCATCAACAACAGGGTAAGGCTTAGTTATGTAGCTGAGATTATTTATAAACAGAAGGGCGATCGGGTAGCCAAGTGGTTAAAGCGTTCGCTCTTCGCGCCAAGGCCCGGGTTCGTGTCTAAACATGAGTACAATATGTTAAGCCCATTTCCCCGCTGAGATATTGCTGGAATATGGGTAAAACGGTGTAAAACGGTGTAAAACTCGCCTGCTCACTCACTCACTCATGTAAACAGTGTAAAAAGAAATCGAAATAATAAGTCAACCCTGTCTCCAGTTTTTAAAATGACCCTTTAAGATACCACCTACCCTGTTCGTAATGCAGCACTTTATTAAAACATTGACGTTTAATTTGTTTTTATTGTGTGGTATAAGCGAAAAAGGATGTTAGACGCCATTCCAAAACATCCACTCCGACACGTGGTCCATTGTGAAGCACCTGCAAATAATCAAAGCATGGTGTGTTATGACATCAGGTTCCAGTGGAGTCGTGAAGAACTGATAAAATGTCTATATTACCATTATCTAAACCAATGAAGCCAGGGCGCCTCCATTACGCACATCCGGTTCAGCGAATGTTCCCCATCCTGGTCTCCCCACTTCTAGTACAGACAACAGCCACGTAATGCGCCCTGATATAATGGACCGCATTGCTGTGGAGGTTTATCTTATCTGGAACTGGATACCGAGTGTTGGTGTTGAGTGGAGGCCGGTGGAAGCTGTTTCATCTGCTCTGGAGACCTTTCTGGAACCGAGTTTTGGTTAAAGATGCATATCGTTTCGGTTCTTATAGAATCAACTTGACCTCTTAATGCTTTTACTATTTAGATAAGAAGGGTTGTTACTGTCGTGTTCCAGTAAATGAAGAACACATGAGGGTATTGATAGTTTTTTAAAATATAATTTGATACGAAAAAATTAACGCCAGATGTCCAGCATACCACACCGAAAAAGAGAATCATTTCTACAGCCTCCAGCATACTGTGCAAGCTGCCCCCTACCTACCCCTGCCACCTATATATGGTGCCCTGGAAGGGAATGGATAAAGTGCCCTAAAATTAATAAACATAGGTGCCCCTGACATACAAATGCTTCCCTAGAGATACTATCAATAGTCTCTACAACATACTTTATATATTGTCCATATTGCCCTGATGTACTGACATTGTACTGATGCTTTATGTACAGCCTCCCGGCATACCACACACATAGTGCCCCCGATGTATTGTACATATTGCCCCGCCCCTGATACTTTATATACAGCCTCACGGCATACCGCACACACAGTGCGCCCAATTTATTGTACATATTGCCCCGCCCCTGATACTTTATATACAGCCTCCCGGCATACCACACACATAGTACCCCCAATTCATTGTACATATTGCCCCGCCCCTGATGCTTTATATACAACCTCCCGGCATACCGCACACACGATGTATTACATATTGCCCCGCCCCTGGTGCTTTATATACAGCCTCCCGGCATACCGTACACACAGTGCCCCCAATTTATTGTACATATTGCCCCGCCCCTAATGCTTTATATACAGCCTCCCGGCATACCACACACACAGTGCCCCCAATTTATTGTACATATTGCCCCGCCCCTAATGCTTTATATACAGCCTCCCGGCATACCACACACATAGTGCCCCCAATTTATTGTACACATTGCCCCGCCCCTGATGCTTTATATACAGCCTCCCGGCATACCACACACATAGTGCCCCCGATGTATTGTACATATTGCCCGCCCCTGATGCTTTATATACAGCCTCACGGCATACCGTACACATAGTGCCCCCAATTTATTGTACATATTGCCCCGCCCCTAATGCTTCATATACAGCCTCCCGGCATATCACACACATAGTGCCCCCAATTTATTGTACACATTGCCCCGCCCCTGATGCTTTATATACAGCCTCCCGGCATACCACACACATAGTGCCCCCGATGTATTGTATATATTGCCCGCCCCTGATGCTTTACATACAGCCTCCCGGCATACCGCACACAGGGGTATATACATGCCCCCGAAATATTGACATGTACATATAGCCCGGGTCGCCCCTTATGCTCAATATAGCGTCTCCCTGCAGGTTAGTCACCTTGACTCGAGTCTCCCTGACATGGCTTGCATACCGTGACGTTGCAGTATCTGCTATCTTCCACTGCATTCCGCCACCTCATCTGTAAAAACAAGACATGTAAAACCATTCAGAAGAGGATACATTTGGTGTTGATGTCGTCCTCATTCCACACAGCTAGTCAGTGCATGTAGTAAATGGACTGTTGCAGCAACGCCCTTACAGTGAGGGCTTATCTATACATGTAGCGAGAATCAAGATATGCCAACATCCACTGAGCTGCGAACAGAACCCGTCGGCTGAGTCAAGCCCTGCTACTTCTGACGAATCTGTAAATGACCCAATCTGGCTTGGAACGTTGATTGCAAATCATAATGTTCGTCAAAGATAATCAACACGTGCGAAGGCAGCCGATATCACTGTACACTGCATGTTTCCAATAACATTTGAAAGATATTTGTCTTCCACAATAGTACAATAACAATTCTCACATTGTCATCGGTTATGCGGCAACTAATTTCTTATATCTTCGTCTTCGTCAGGCTTTAGATTATGTGACAATGGCCGCAATTACATTGTTGTGGCCTTAGATTAATGCCATTGAATCAAAAGGGTTGTTGTAAGCACGCTGTTGTTCAGCTGCAATTTACCTGGCGGTGTTGCGTCCCATATCTTTTAGGCTTGCCAGAAACCTATGATCGAGGGTTCGAATCCGAGGTTTGCTCTTATTACGTTTCTAGGTTTCTCAGCACTATACCCGTACACGTGGGTTTCCTCAAAGTGGTAAACGTCTAAGACCTGCATCACTTTGGCCTTTCCCTTCCACGTGGAGCTGACACACGGTGATATAGCTGGTATACTGTCCTCCCCCTTCCGTGCAGGCGGCACGCGACACTCAATGATCTAAGTCGCCACAACTCGTCGTCCCCTTTAAGTAGCCGCGGTAGGACCCTTTGACCATGGGTTCGAATCCTAGTGTCTACCTGATTATGATCCTTGATCTGTTAGCACCAGTCTTGTACTCACGGCTTTCCTTGAAGTGAAATACATCAACACCACTTTGAGCTTTTAGTCACTCGATTAGTCTTTTAGTCACCCACACAACCAATCACTCACTCCACCCTCTGTCCACCCACTCACTTAATTCACTTAATCACACAATCGCACACACACTGCTGGTGTTATTACCGCCTACTCGTTAGTAAGAAAGGAAACGCACCTGTTCTTAAACAAATAAAACTGATCCTAAAAACCCATAGCAAAGATGTGTAATCCGTTGCACTGACGTACCTTCCACAAGGCCAAAGACAATTTATTTTATAACATGTGCGGGAAAATAAATGACCCCAACTACTAGTATTAAACATAAACTTAACTAATCCTCCACAGTATCTCGAATCGTTATTAAGTCACGCATATGGCCGTCAAGCCAGTGAACCAACATCCGATCTTATTTTAATAATATGACACACATGCACTGGGGTAATACCCCATCTTCAGGATGTAGACAGTTACATTCCAGTAACCTGAGACTAATGGGGATTTCCCGGCGCACAGGGTCTGCATGTCTTGATTCAAATGTAGAATCTTCGAACTATCGAAATAACACCGTTTCATTTGTTTAGTGTTTTTCTGTACGCTGCATCGGTAATTTTCAAGTTATCTAACCGCGGCCTGTAAGTAAATTGCATGTGCCAGGCGACACAGTCGTTGATACCAGTGTACGACTCTGCTGGGGTTCGTTGACATGTAAACACTTCTAACCCGATCCCGATTCTTCACGGGTAATAATATGCTGTTTGGAAAAAAACAGAATTGTTCATAAAGAACGTACAGAACGAGGCTCGGACATCATCCTTGACTTAGTGTTCAGTTAAAATGGTAATTGGCACTACTGGTAATACTACAAAAACGACCCGTGAAGATCCGGGTTAGAATAGGTCTTCAGTAACCGATGCTTGCTGTAAAAGGCGACTATGCTTGTCGTAAGAGGCGACTAACGGGATTGAGTGGTCAGGCTCAGTGACTTGGTTGATGCCTGAAATCTTGCGAGACAAATATCATGTTCATGAATCGAAGGTTTTATGCACTTTACAGCCTTCCTTGAGCAAAACTGGGGCACGGGTGTTTCACTCGCTTAAGGCGACGCGATTTGCAGTTTCATTCCTTAGTCATACAAGGATCCAATTATCATGGGTTTGAATCCTAGATTCTTCCCGATTATGATCCTTGGTTGTTAGTATTATGCATATACTCGTTGATTATACTGAGGTAGTCACTGTGGATCTTCTTCCCATATGACACGACGTGAGTCATCCTGGACTCATGAAGCTGAATTTAAGGATGTAACTGAATTTTATGTAATAGACAACATGAAGAAATTAATGATTTATGCAGTACATCTTATGCAGATAGCCCCTGCTCAAGAGCGTTCAGTCACATGCTTTTGTGAGTGATTGAGTGAGTAAGTATGGTTTTACGCCGCTTTTAGCAATATTCCAGGTAGATCACGGCGGGGGACACCAGAAATTGGCTTCACACATTGTACCCATGTGGGGAATCGAACCCGGGTCTTCGGCGTGGCGAGCCAACACTTTAACCACAAGGCTACCCCACCGCCCTTGTTTCAGTTGGGACAATATCACATATTGCCACTGTCCGTAATATATATTAATGCACACTTTCAAGGAAAACTTTCAATGTTTAGGTGTCGTTAGTGACAGATGTGAATAGGTTTTCGACCACAGAATTGAAAAAATGACATCATAAGATCAAGAGGTTATCACGGTTGTGTGTTTTTGGATAGTTAATATCCTGTATTAATACTTGAAATAAACAGTATTTATTCATATCGTAATGTTTATCCATAATACAGGATATTTACCATTCCAACACATACTCGAGTGATAACCTCAGTCTATATACCTGAACCTGCAGATAACAAATCCCACAAATTACCATTGTATATACTTCAACCGTTTACATGGTGTTACGTTCAGCACACCTGAAGTTATTGGAAAATAATGGCTCACTAATGAGGTAAAACATCCTCAGCATGTTCTTTGGGCAAACAGTTCAGATCTGTACGTCAGCACTGAACTGTACGTTTTGACAAGCGAGAAGTGCTTGTTTCGGCAATTGCCTGTGAAATCATTTCCCGGATACGTCCATATCTGTAAGAACTGATAGTGCAAGTTGCAGTGAGCGTGTTTGGGTATCAGTTTATCATGTTTACGTTCACACATGGGGTTAACGCATAACATATACCTTCTTATCGCTTTCCTCCAAATGGACACTGTATCGTGAACTTCCACTCAACAGTCAACGAATCTGACAGGGGAAATATTCGTGTGCGAAATCTCAAAACTCGAATATAGCTACTCTAATTACATCAGCTAGTTACGCCCACTTCGTTGAAGCAGGGAGACTATACAAAGATTACGTCCACTTCGTTGAAGCAGGGAGACTACACAAAGATTTACGCTCCCTGGTTGAAGTAAACTGTCGATTGTTGATCATGTTAGAGTAACACGCCTAGAAGCGGGAGAAAGGTTAAATTCATAAATAGAAATACTGATTATACATGTTAACTTAGGATTAATTAGGTATAATTTTGATTAGAGACCATAGCTTTGGAAGTTTATTAATACAAGCGCACACACGCATACTGACATGCACTGACCACGAATAATCTGCTTATTAATTACCTGATACGTTATCATTCAAAAGCATCACAGGCTTGCGAAATTGCATTTCCTTCCCAAACTTCCACATGGTCGACCTCAGGACCAGTCTAGAGAAGATGACCTTCACCCCATTACTGATACAACCCCTGTGCAAATCCTGTCCAATTATTGCTGCAATCTCGGCGACAGGATACAAATAACTGCCGAATCGTGACCCTACTGTACATAGATAACGTTGATAGATTGAACGACAATGTGATGCGGCCACATTGCAGTCAGATTAATGCCCATGGCTTAACGTCAATAATAGTCAAGAGCTCACAAACACCGCTGACCAAACAGCGGCGAGTCCTATGATGGCGCTGTTGGGAGCTCGTTGGGAGCCCAAATATGAACATTGCATGGGCTGTCCGAGATATCAAGCTATGGTTACACATTTCAGTTAAACATGCCGTATTATGTAGTTCGGGGATGGCGCTAGTTGGTGAATATTATTAGAACGCGGAGTTGCTGTTGACTCGTCTAACACAGCTACCGAGAAATGGAGATAGCCAGCCAATAGCACTCTTCATACGTAGTTTTCGGGAACAATTACGCTGAAAGGTTAAAACGTACATAGTTTTAGTGTTGAATTATTTTGATAAAGCAAACTTGTCTAAAGACCGGAAATTCATAATTATGTAGTTGTATTCAAAAGGTTACGAAAGGTTAAATCGACCACGTCTCGTGAGGGTTCTGAGTTAGAATAGCTCCCCAGAAACCTATGCTGGTGGCAATAGGCAACTAAATAGATCGAGTGACAAGGCTTTGTGAGGTGGTTAATCGGGCGTTGCTCACAATGCCAATCAATGGTTTGTTTGTTTGTTTGGCCGCCGCCATACAGCTGGTATAGAACTGTCCGGCGTTAAACAACGAACAATATAAGCGACAAAACCATTGCCATAATCATAAGTGTTCATTGTACGATCCCGACTGTATCATAAGCATGCGTTTGTGAATCATTGTCAAATAGTGATGACACCAGGTCAAATCAATAACATAATCTGTAACACCATGACGCATCTACGCTATCTATACACCTTGTCACACGACTGAGGAACTGATAACATTCTTAACAATCTTCACAATGCTTCATTACGGACGGAGTGGTGCGGCGTGGAATTATGTGTAGAAAATCAATCGCCAGAAGAATTGACATTTAATTTATCACCTCGTCACTTCATACAAATCTTCTGTGTCATCAGTTTGGATCCGCATAGAGCATGATCTTTGCACGATGAAAGCCTTTCAGCTGTGCACTTTTCTCCATGGTAGTGTTTGTTTGTTTGTTTAACGCCGCACTCCAATATTCCACCTATATGACGGTGGTCTCTTAATAATCGAGTCTGGACCAGACAATCCAGTGATTGATATCATGAGCATCGATCTACGCAAGTGGGATCAATGACATGCAACGACCAAGTCAGCGTGCCTGATAACCCGAGCCCGTTAGTCGAATCTTTACGGGTCCCATGGTAGTTGCATACAGAGGCTTAACGTTACCTGTGTTATGGAGCGTGTGGTATGGACAGTTTATCCAAGTTATGTTGCTTATGTCAGTATACTTAAATCTTACAGAACATAATATCTACTGCTAAAAAGAACTTAAGAGAACTCACGATCTGCATGATACGTTCAGTCGATAACAACAACAAACCGTGTGGTGCACGTGGAATCCATGCGCTATGTGTATTCAAGGTGCACGTGTATTCCATGCCCTATGTGTATTTGTAGTGCACGTATGTTCGTGTTGCACGTGTATTCCATGCTCTATGTGTATTCGTAGTGCACGTATGTTCGTGTTGCACGTGTATGTCATGCTCTATGTGTATTCGTGGTGCACGTGTGTTTGTTGCACGTGTATTCCATGCTTTATGAGTTTCGTGTTGCACGTGTGTTCGTGTTGCTCGTGTATCCCATGCTCTATGTGTATTCAGTGTGCACGTGTGTTCGTGTTGCACGTTTATTCCATGCCTTATGAGATTCGTGTTGCACGTGTGTTACATGCTCTATGTGTATTCGTGGTGCAACTGTGTTCATGTTTCTCGTGTATTCCATGCTCTACGTGTATTCGTAGAGTATAGAATCCACGTACACCACGAATACACGTAGAGCATTAAAACCACGTGCACCACTTCACCCCCTTGCTCGGTTCCCTGTTGTGTAGAAATTGATTCTTCTGTTACAAGCGTCACGCCTTCTGTTACCAAAACGCGGTGTTTTATTAACATCGATCTTTCTTTCGTTACTTTTTGTAACACTGTACATATATACTCAACAACAAAAGTTCCCGTGACACCAACATTTTAGTGTATTTTTCAAACAAGTAAAGTTTGGTTTTCAATATTCTAGTACATGTATGGAATCAAGTCACAAAAACGCAACTGCTACAGAAAAGCTTGGATTCCATGCCAAAGTTGACTTTTATGCCAGCCCCATGTGTTTCAATACCTAAGAATAGGTATAAAAACTTGTGCATTAACGGAATTCCATATGCATTGTTTAGCATCGTGCTGACAACAACCACTCAGAAAAACAACACAATTACGCAATTATTCAACATTACGAAATGCCACGCCTGTCCGAAAATGAGAGTCTGCGAGCCATTGGTGTGCTTGAAGCAGGATCAAGTGAACGTGATGTTGCAAGACAATTTAACGTTCACAAAAAACACCATTTGGTGTTCATGGCAACGTTGGCAAAAGACGAATGCAGTCAGAGGCCATCCTCGGAGTGGCAGGCCACGCGTAACCAATAATCGACGAGACAACTGGATTCGAACAACACACCTACGAAATCGATTCCAGCCAGCAACAGTGACTGCAAGAAGCATCCCTTGTCTTCGATGAATATCTTCACAAACCGTACGTTGTCGCCTCAGATGTGCAGGGATTGTCGCCAGAAGACCCGCCAGACATCCCATTTTGAAAGGAAACCACCGCCAAGCACGTCTACAGTGGTGCAGACAGCGTCTACGCTGGACGGCCATGCAGTGGGGACAAGTTCTATTCACAGACGAGTCTCGTTTTCACCTCAGCCACAGCGATGGACGGATTCGAGTGTACCGACGTCGAGGTGAACGTTACGTCAATCATTGTGTCATGGAAGAAGATCGGTTCGGGGCGGCAGCGTTATGGTATGGGGTGGGATTACAGCAAGACAGAGGACCCGTTTAGTAGTGGTAGAGGGAAATCTCAATGGACAGCGCTACCGCGACGAGATCATCGGCCCTGTTCTACTGTTTTTTGCGTCGTCATGGCCCAGGCATTACCTTTCAACACGACAACGCCCGGCCTCATATTGCTCGACTTGTTCGGGATTCTCTTCAACAAAACAACGTGAATGCCATCCCCTGGCCGGCTCGATCCTCTAATCTCTCACCAATCGAGCACATGTGGGATGAGATGGATCGGCGCCTTCGACGTCAACCACGTGTTCCACAGACACTCCAGGAACTTCGAAACATGCTCCAGCAGATATGGACAGATATCCCATAGGACTTGGTGTGCGACGCCTGGTCCATTCCATGAGACGAAGATGTGTTGCTTGCATCGCAACCAGAGGTGGACACACACGCTATTGATTTGTAAATTTTGGAATGTTCATGTTTTTTAAATATGAAATCACGCATTTTCTGTATGGCAGTATGGCAAATTAAACCATTTGAACACTTACAGGAGTCTTTTATCTGTTGCAAACCGAAATTATTTCAGATTAGGTAAAAAATATAACTTTGCATTAAATCTTATTCAATGTCACAGGAACTTTTGTTGTTCAGTATATTATTCTTTGTCATTTCTAGACTGTTGAAACTAGGAAAGCAGGGCAGACGTAACGCAACAGTCTGCATTCGACGACTTTGGTTTCAGCCTTCCTGGGATAATACAGTGTCGGACTTAATTGAAAAAGCACTTGAATGACAGTGTTTCGTGACAATAATGCCAGAGCATGCTCATGTTACCATTAGATGACAACGGTATAGGTCACTGATGTCATATAATGCCAAGTCACGTTCTCTCGCATAGAAATTGTGTTCAAGAGGGAGTTTCACATGAGTTAAATATACTACTCAAAAGAAGTTGAAGAACACACGATGCTTTCATATTGCTATAGTTAATCTGTCATGGAATGAAAATTAGAAGTATGCACACACTATGGGGCCGACCAGCTGATATTCTGTGGAGGGGTCGGGTGACGGGGATGGTTATAAGACCTGCTTCTGAAAATGCCCTGAAAAGTAACGTGCTGTGGGAAAAATACTTGTTTGGCGTCTTTTTTCAGAAACATAAGTGTATGTTTTGAAGCACTAATTGAGAACAAATATTTTGTACTCAAACAAAAATCCCTGCACAACCCACACCCCTCCCGGACTTCTAAATGTACGGTTCCAAAAGTGACACAATCTTGATTATCTCCACGTGTATACTCTGTGGTGAAGAAGTGGACTGAGAATTTCATATTGAAAGTCACGTCATGAAGGTAACATGGGCTACTTGACATGAAACATTAAAGCAGGTGACGTCACCATTTATATCACACTTAAACCATGATTCCTTTGTCCGTTAACTGAATTGTTAGTTAAACACCACTTGGCAATGACGGAACTTCTTTATCCCTATCATTTATCTTGATGGTAGAACGATTTCATGAAAAACTTCTTTGATAGGCATATAGAAGTTGGAGTACTAAGTAAGGATAAGAATTTATGGATGAACGACTTCTTTATTACAATTAAGGACGACGTTTCGGTGTAGGTTCTAACACCATTATCAAGCAGGTGATATACAGAGTGTGGTTGGCAAGTATATATACAAGTAGTAGGCAATGTTTATACAGTAGAGTAGATATTGTTATACTGGAGTAGAGAAGCCTGTTATGTACACACAAGGGTAATGATGACAATCAACGTTTGTCGCCAGCGGGATTCGAACCCGCGAAGTCCGCCCGGAAGGTTAACGAATGTAGTCTTCTGCCACGGTGACATTGGAAAAAATGTGTGAAATTAACAACTAAATATTTAGTTACATCAGAACTTATTGCTTATCCGTTTATGAGCTGCGAAATATGTTTTA